GAAAATCATTTAAAATGTTAGAGAGCCAAGTTTCGGTACGAATGGCTCGGCTGGACCGGAGTAATGCCACGGCCGCACAGAAAACCGGCGTGTAACAACCACAGTATTGTGTTTCGCTGTGTGAGTGAGGTTACTGGAGTCCGAATCTTTCCCGTCCCCCAATCTCTAAAAATCAAAAAATCTCCAATCCCCAAAAGATCGGCAACGCACTCGCAACTCCTATGTTTTTGCGGATGTCTATGGGCAGCGGTGATTGCTTACCATCAGGTAAAAAGTGGTCGTTTGACAACCTATCACATAGAAAGAAATCTCCTGCTTCGGACTGGTACCGCAGCACATTTAACAGTTGCACCCCGAACACCAGCTGGACATTACGCCAATTGGGCTCCATCTGTAGTATTGAAATGGCTAATCCTAAGGAACAGTTTTGGCGACATAAACATTAGATGAAAGATTAGACAACTCTTAATTAATTGTGCCTAAACGCCGCAAAAGTAATCACAGCTTCACTAGGATGTTACATTTTATCCTTTTTTTTAATGATGGCACTAAGATTTTCTATTTTTGCGAGTGCCTTAAGAGATACGCAAATTATACCTAGGTGTTAGATAACAATCTATGAATCACACTACCGGTTGTTTAAATTAAAATCAAACCCGTAAAACTTTGCGCATTGCCGGTCGCCCTAACTATTGAAACAACCGACTGAAGTTCGCGGTGATCTTGGTCGCTTTTTGCTTTAAGAAGAAACTTTCTTAAGTACTTGCAGTTACATAATGTTCGTCAAATAATTAATTTTACCTGCACAGTCAACTTACACGGTGGCTAGGCAACGGGCTACCGCGCAACCTGTCGCGGGGTCGAACACTATTCATGACAAGTCTTCGTGTGATCCACTAATTATTCTTCCGAGTCTGGGTTGGGCGTGAATGAGAAAATTATATATAACAAAAATAAACAAATTAAACCGTGTTTGGTCTATATAAATTCACCTTCCACACAGGAGAAAATCCTAGTGTAGAACAACGTTATTAAATCAAATATATAAAAAACTAATCTAACTATGTATAGTCTAAAATAATTTATTGAGCAACGATTGATTTGTAAAAGTATCTACTCTGTTAAATATAGGTACAAGAAAATTCATTACCAAATTAGCGTATCTTGTCGATTGATACAACACGTTGCTTGAACAAAACTATCCTAATATATCTCATCGCTCGATTTAGATCACTTTAAAATATCGATTTGTTATTGCTACTAATTAGGTACCTGATTGAAATATATATAAATTTATCGTCAATATCACGTGAGATCCAGCTTAGGTATATACTTGAAGGCACCGGGGGGTTGGTACAAACATCAACATCCCGATCATCGTCTTCACAGTCCATCGCAGGGCGTAGGATTTTATAATCAGGCCGAATAAATTACAAAAATAACGGACGTCGGCGATCCGTCTCCTACGACAGTCACAGCGCTCGCTCTTCACATAATGCGCACGCAGAACTGCCAGTTTGACGTTCCGCCAGAGTACGATTTATGGTACCCTCGTCCGATGAATTGTAATAAAACCTCCTTCAAAATTCAATTTAAATAATCGTCGCTCCGACACGGCCAGACTGACATTCGCTCGTCCTCGAGCGATCTTAGTTCTGTGGTAGTTCTGGAACAGAAGGAAAGATTCCACGTGTATAGCACGCTGCTCGTTCATCCTGACTAACATGCGCTATCTCAACATCGCCTGGTTACTGCACTCAACGTCAATGTAACATTATCATCATTTTCAGTTGTACCTACTTCCAAAACTATGAAACAACTTATCCCAAATCACTCTGATACGGCCTCAGCGATTGGTGTGCATGGACCGGATGTATGCGCCTCTACCACCAGCCAACATGCTCCGGCAAGACCACATCATCCCTTCGACCAACTCACCACATCACCTGCCTGGGTCAGACTAGTGCGTCCCTCCGACTAGACACCACGTGACATAGACCGGACGTCACTATCCTTCCCAATGATAAGCTACGCCAACTCACAACTATATTCACAGACATTCACGTTACCCAGATGAAACTAGGTACAACCATCAAATCACAAATCTCTAATTCGGGAACTATCTCGCTCGTTATAATTACAGTCGTTGGTTCAATCATATGAACACGCAGATAAGGAGCATGATAACACGTTATAACAAAGAAAAGGAACTTCCTCACCCGTAGATATCTCCAACACGCCTTAAGAAGCTCTATAGCCGCAAGCGTTGACTTCTTTAAATGTTGCATAGCTGGTCTTCTTCTCGAAACGTGACATGAAAAACAGATGACTGCGTGCCCCTTTTTCATACGCGTCAGTTACAAGTCGTTCTTTCGGAATATTAGATGGTTTCCCATCAAATCCCACTTCTGATGAAGGCACCGGGGGGTTGGTACAAACATCAACATCCCGATCATCGTCTTCACAGTCCATCGCAGGGCGTAGGATTTTATAATCAGGCCGAATAAATTACAAAAATAACGGACGTCGGCGATCCGTCTCCTACGACAGTCACAGCGCTCGCTCTTCACATAATGCGCACGCAGAACTGCCAGTTTGACGTTCCGCCAGAGTACGATTTATGGTACCCTCGTCCGATGAATTGTAATAAAACCTCCTTCAAAATTCAATTTAAATAATCGTCGCTCCGACATACTTATATGTTCAATTTTGTAAATAAATAAAAGCAATGTGATCTCTTTTTAGGTAAGCTACACAAAACCATTTTGGTTTTGGCCGTCAATTTCTATTGCCGATTGTATATTGTTTTTCCATTACGACTGTGTATGCAGTCACGTGGCCACAATATCCTGCAACCAAAGTACTGGATTAATGTGTAAATAAAATCCTAGTACTATTATATTGGCTTTGTGACGTGAAACTGGTAGAATTCCTGGTCAAACGTTTTATCTTTGAGTAAGCCAAAGGTAGGAAAAAAACTATGTTGTTTACTTATAAGTGTCCACTGCAAAGCAAAGGCTTCTATTAAAGGCTTATATATAAACGGAGAAGGTTTAAGCGTTAATCAAAACGCTTGTTAAAGTAGTATTGCGACTCAAATTTATCATTGAAAATGGCTTGGAGATCATGTAATAAATATATACTGAGAATACCTTTATTTTAATCCTTTATCCCTAACCATTTAAATTTAATTTATTTTTATAAGTTTACGTTCTAGGTGGATACTTGCACAAAAAGATCATACAGAATTCTATAAAAAACTAACAGTCATTAAATAAAAAAAACACTAAAAAAATGCATAACATATTAATTTTCTGTGTGGCTTACGTAATTTGAATATTGAAATGCAATGAATATTCAAATCACAATATGAAAAAAAAATATTGAAAACAGTGTAAGCAAGCATCCTCTTCGTTATCTGTCTTATATGACTCACAATCACATGTCAATAATCAATCTTATGCACATACATATGTATGTGTGCTGTTCCTTATTTATTAACTGCCACATAGCACGCGTTTGTCTACCTGGTCTTAATTTGTTGCATTCCAATGTCATTATTTATCAGGTGACAACTAAATATAGAATAATGTTCGTACACAAAACTAGAGTATGTATTGAAACGTAGGTTTTCAAAGTATACATTTAAATCACTAACCTACCTAATTAAGGTCGACGCCATGGTTCAGAGGGAGAGGTACTGGGAAGCCTCTTCGAGCAAAGCACTGGTGCTCGCAAGAAGGAGGCGGAGCGCTTGAGGGAACTATCCTCCTCATGCCGTTAAGGATCGCATGAGGATCTCCGGCCATCGTAGCTGGTCTGCACATGGCAAGTAATTATCTACCGGTCGACCAAGATCAGCCAATAGAATAGGCTCAACCGAGCTAATATTCATCTGGGATTGCTTGGGAGGAGCAGGAGCAGGGATGGAACAAACTTCCACTGTACGAGTACCTACCCGCGACGATAGAAGTCATTTGATGACTATGTACCCTCAAAAAACTTTCTGTCCGAAAACAATCATTTTTATTAAACAAATATGTAGCAAAAATACAAATTTAGTAGATATACCAATAAATTTAGTACACGAAAATTTTTGTGATCAATGTGACCATTTATTTTAATCCTGTTGTCTTTTGACCAAGACGTAATAGATCGATTCGAACACGCTTGGTATCAGCTGCAGTCACTGATACCGGCGTGAGTGTGACATGTGAGGTAATCACTAATTAATCGTCATTAATTACTGTAAAACATGCGGAAGGTCTGCGTAATTATCAGGAGAGACTGCATCCGGAACAATTTATATCGTCGCTTTGATCATTTTCGAAGGAATTCTTAATGAATTTTAGGAAAAAATAACAATAAATAAGGATATATTTGATAAAAAATCTTGTATTCAAATTTGAATTAAGAATATTTAGGCACAACTAGAAGTATATGATTTTTACAGACAAGGCTTCACGAAAGTTTCATCAGTAAATGTTTTAGTTAACGTGAAGCAGGATCAAGAAATGTTTGCAAATTCACGTAAATAAATCAATGTATCTTCCGGAGTCGGACAACAGATGTGACATCATTTGTGCTAGAGTTAGTGACAGTCTGGCTCATTTCCACCCAACTCAAATAAGTTCTAACGTAAATTTATATCTTTGTTTTGTCTTTTCATCTGACACCCGTAACTAATGACCTCGGTACGATTAATACATTCGTGTGTAGATCACCATTACAGCGATCGCAATCTTATTAAACCAATTTGTAATAGTGAGTTGATTTATTATTACAAAATACATCATTAAACGAATTCATGCATGCGTTAGTTTCCTCACGGCTTGCATTATTAATGATACAAAATTAAATGTTACTTTAATTAAATGTTATTTTTTTTAAGCTTTTCCTACTTCAAAAGCAACAATGCGTCATTTGGCACACTAATTAAAAACGACTAGGAATTTGTCAATACAATGCACGGTCAGCGTATTGACAGAACATCATTGGCAGCGAGTCGCGCAAACATAGCGCTTGCGACAGCCAGGTGGGGTCAAAGGGAGATAAATCGGGAGGCTGCGTACGCCACCGGGGGACGGAGCTGACAGTCGTAGACGAACGAGCATCCGCACCACACGCTTCTCCAAACCCAGTTAGGTCCGTGATCTAGTGTCGAGTCCGGTCGTGAAACTAGTGAAGTTGCTCTACCAAGTGTCAGGAATAACGGTGTGGTTTTTGATCGCAGAGTACCCCTTTGCGAGATGTGGGACGACGCAGACGTAGAAGAAGAGACCCCCGCGCCGGCTCCGCCTGCGGAGGAAGAGGCCGCCGCCGCCGCCGAGACTGCTGCGGCTGCCCAGCCCGAGGAGGCCGAGCCCCCTGCGCCCGAGAACACTGTCATGGGCACCGAACCTAAGAAACTAGTATTTAAGCACTGGATCAGGTAACTAAATAAACATTACTTCCAAATACAACTCGTTATAAATTAAACTCAAACAATAAACGTGGATCGCTACAATAATAAACAACAAAATTTACGATTGGGTTTTTCATATTCAAATACTTTTAACAAAATTAAAAGTATCTGGCATTTATTTAAATAATTGAACAGTTTCATCAAACGGATCTTTCAATTTTCAATCAACGGTCAATAATGTATTTAGAGTGTTTCATCAGTAAACTGGTGGCGTAACGTTACAGGCCCAGATTCCTCCAATACAACTACCTGTACGACTACCAGCACAACTACTACAACGACGTGATCAACTACCTGGACCGGCGGAACAAGGGCCTGCCGGTGGAGCGGCCGCGCGCGCAGACCTGGGGCGAGCGCGTGCTCAGGACCTACCTTTCCAAAGGCTCTAGCTATAGTCACAAGACTTCCAAAGACACAGCTCTCCTACGCCACATATCGACGGGCGCCAGGTTCCAGCGCTACCATAGCAAGTCCCTCATCTCGAGGAAGTATTCCAGACTCGGATTTAACACCGTCTCCATCTAGCTTCGCTCTAACACCCTCGCTTGACCTCGCTTACGCGGACCCACTCCGGAGTGCCGGCGTGACCTTTGTGTCGATGTTACAGGATCTCGCTGGTGTGATGCAGCATCAGCGGCCGCCGCCGCCACCGTACAAACATAAAGTAACTCTGATCGGAAGCCGTCCGCATTCCTATTTTACTATCTGTCTTATTTGTGTAAGACAATAAAACTTTAAGTTAAACTACCTGGTTTCATTTGCTTGCGTTTACTTCCTGGGCCCATACTGACCGAATTTATAACTTAAATATTCTTTAGATATATTTAAAGAACAATATGTTCGATGCATTGCGAAATTAATTAACAAGCTTTGCGACAATTTACATCGAGTATTCTCACTTAACACAAACACTTTGATATAAATAGTTACACTTATTGTACAGTATACATTTGCCACGTAAGATGTTCGTGAATAAGTACCGAATCGGTGAAGTTGTTATACAAAGTGTAAACACACTGGTATGCAGTTCAAAGGTAACACCTGGACATGGGATCTGCAACATAAATATCTTCCAAGCGATGATTTAGTACTGTGTTGATGCAAGTACATGTGCTCTATCCAGAACATGAGCATTACGTATAACATGGATTTCAATTAGTGTACTCTCCAAATATACCGATGCACACGGTCCGACATTCACTCCACCTCATATTTCACAAAAAAAACAACAAACCTAACAGCCACCTGCTGACTGCACTTACCGAGAAAAAACGATCAAAGAATTTATAGAAATACCATCATTGAAAAGCTTTTAAAATGTCTTCTTTAGATCCCGTTACATACTCAATCTTAATTAACACCCCGCATTACAAGACAATGCCGCTATTAATAAATATAATAAAACCTATCCTGCTTCTATTTCCCGGACAATATTATATCATAGAATAATATCCGGCCAATCGATCCCCGACAACGACTAATAAGGTATATTAGATTAATATCCAGATAAATGGCTCTCGTTAACTTCGCTTAGAATAATAAATCTGTTCACTGATTTCTTAATAAAAGTGATTTACGAGTGAATAATTATTAAAATTATTTATGGGCTATATTACAGGTTCAAAATATTAATTAGAAGTGTACGATTTTCATAAATGTATAAAGCAATCACACTGGCAAATTGGCACCTTTACTACACTATTAATGTCAATATACAATTTGTTAGCGAAAACTGTCATAGTCGCACATTCGAGATGACTAATATCATCAATAGTAAATGATTTGTTTGAAACATTGAGCGGCAATTAAGTATCTGTGTCAGTATGCTGTCACGACGCGTGAAGCAAGTAATATGGCTCTTAATACAAGACGTTCAATGTCACAATCGCGTGACACATACTCAGTGGGCGCACAGCAAAATTTCAATGTCGAGATATCTAAAATAACTTATCTTTGACAGTTCAGTGAATGTAATCGCTTGGGCGAGCGCCAAATGCTGGGCTACCTAGCAGGTAAAGTAGGCAATCAGCCAAATTGAAGATAATTAAATGTTACAATGACCAAGGGAGCCCAGACATCGATTGGGTACTCGATGTGTATTAATAGAATGCTCAATTTGTGACATCGACACTTATGCAATTTTTTATTACTCGACATTTTCATATTTTGTTACTTTAATCATCCTCCGGCACTCACTCAAACAATTTCGTATGGAATGCTCATTTCATCCGGATTACATTTCACACATATTTTGTAGGACGAGTACCAGCATTCAAATTTACACTATTTCAAACTGCAACTTAGTTTTAATAAAAGCCTTTGAATTCACAGCACCGTATTTATGAAGGTTCTAACTCTAGACGTAACAATGGCTAATTACAATAGTTCTAAAAGGGCATCCTGTTTTTGAATACGCTGTGTGTTAATATGAAATTGCAATGAGAAGTCCCGAACAAAATGATATATATTTTGTTAATAACGCGAATTCTTCATAGAGCAATGTAGTCTGTGGATAAAAAAGAGTCTCCTATATTATTATACATATATTACTATGTTATTATAAGTAGGACTAAACTACGTATCTGATGAAAAATTGGAAATATGTAAGTAGACCGTTGTGATAGGTGATGTGACTCAACTACATGCCACTTTATGCAAGACTAGCTACTCTTGCTCGGTTTCACCCGCTGCTCAATCCTACCAGCGGTTTCAAAGATTACCCCCTACATACAAACTTATAAATTTTACCTCTTTATAATATTAGTATAGATAAAAAGTATTACTACGTAATTTTAATATGGAGTACTAAATATTTTGAATGTAAATAATTACTCGTTTCGAAACTCTACTACCCAAAGTTATCAATCGATTTACATGACAAATGTATTGTTATTATAGCCCAAGTACCACTCAGTAATACAATATCGATCGGAATTTTAGTGATCCGTGGACGATCACAGAGACACTGCATCATTACAGTGGATGGGCTCATCAATTCATTCATAAATGACGGAATAATTGATCGATCTGGCAGCCGGGTGGATTTAATTACCGTCCGTACCTTTTGACAAAGTACTTGCTCACATAAATACTTGAAAAGACAGTAATTTGTTCTATCGCTTCATGAACGATTAACTGCGTCCCGTGTTCGAGCAAATACTACTCTATGGTGTATTTGCGTGATTTAGGGCTGATGTTTCAATAATCAGATGAATGTTATCTAAAGAATAAAATTGTTGCTGTCACTGTCTTATACAAACATTCTGACGCGACAGCATCATAATTATTCCCCAGATAACTTTTATCTAACCATTGAAAAATCAGCCGTAAATGTGAAAGTAAAATTAATATTAATGTTACTTGCGAGTTATTATTTAAAGCGAATTGTTGATAAATTTTACGAGACATTTTCAAGCATCTTCTTAATACAGGTGAAATTATTAGGGTTAAAGTAAAACGCCCGCGCTCTTCAGTAGAACTTCGCCACGTCCAGGCTAGTTGTAATAGTTTTCAGTCTGTTCTGAAGAGGGATTATCAATGTTGAGTGCTGAACAACTACTCCAGTAGATACTATTTTAAAATGTATGCTAAAATATACAATATTTTCTTGCTTTCTTTAGTTTTAAAAACTTACACTATTAATACAATTTTAGTAAGTACCTACGTTTCAAGGACACTAATGTTTAGATGTAATTATTTTAATACAATTATTTTTATGTAATAGGTCTGCTAAAGAGCAAGCTGATTACCTGATGTTAAGCAATCAGTGCTGCCCATGGACACCGCTAACACCAGAGGAGTTATGAATACGTTGCAGGCCTTTTGGGTACAAGAATTTCGGAGATTTAGGGATTGGGGAAGGATGAGGGGCGTAAAGATTAGATCACACTCACACGATGAAACACAACGCTGTCATTGTTTCACGCTGATTTTCAATGAGGTCGTGGTATCACTCCGGTCGAGCCGACCCATTCATGCCAAACTTGTCTCCCACTTATTAAAATATTGTGTATATGTTTCTTTATACATGATGCATATTAATGTTAAATATGAATCATAGTTTAGCACTTCTTTTATAAACTTATACATATTGATTACATAGCGATTAAAAAGGAAAATATTCAGTGTTCTTGTCTCAAACGAGCAGACGGATTACCTGATGGTAAGTAATCAGTGCCGCCCATGGACACTCGCAACGGAGCAAGCAAGCAACGGATTTGGAGATTTAGGGATCGAGGAGGGATTGGGGGTTGGGAAGGATTGGGCCTCCGGTAACCTCACTCACACGGCGAAACACAACGCTGTGGTTGTTTCACGCCAGTTTTCTGTGAGGCCGTGGTATCACTCCGGTCGAGCCGACCCATTCGTGCCGAAGCATGGCTGCCCCACACTTGAATATTAAATATAAATAATATGTAACAATAATACACGAACATGAAAACATTGTATGAGCCGATACAATGTTTTACTTGGCATTGTCATAGTGAATTATTGACAAGACCCACATAAATTAGTTCGTTACAGTAAGTTTAGCTGGCAAACCGTCCTGGCGTTGTTACGATCAATCTTCTTATTAACTAACCGGCGGCAGGGATGCCAAACTGAATCTCATATCACTGCGTCGATAGATATGCAGTGACGAGACAGGATGCATTTCAAAATTAATTGCAGTTAGCTATCAAGTTTGTAATTTATCATCGGATAGTGTTGTCTGGTGTTGTCGAATAGATTTAGTGAAAGCGTTTCCTTTACCATAACTAACGTTTGATATGATTTTATCAAAATGTACACGAGATATCTTTTCTTACGGTCTTCTATAGGTAACTTTAGCTAGATTAAGTTTAGTAATATTGTAATTTAACTTTTGATGTCATAGTTCCCGATTGCCGAGTGGGTTTCATTCACACAAATGTTTTTTTTTATAATATGCATTTTAGGTCAGCTGTCAAGCAGACGATACACATGATGGTAAAATAATTAGCGCCATCCGCGAACATCGGTAACACGCATTTTTCAAAATATCTTATCAGAAACTGAATATGTGTCTCATATGTGGCAATAGACTCACCTTCTACTACAGAGGCCATCCGTCATTAAAAGGAACCAATTAAAAAGAGTTACCTTAAAACGGTGTCTCTGGTAGCTTACCGCCCGACCATTGCCAGACCCGAACATACTGCATGAAGCATTCCACGCGCGGCTCAAAGATTCAATAAACCACCATAAACGGGATCCAATATGTATGTTCAGTCGAGTTTGCGCGGAAACCGCATTAAGGCACCACGGCCTCGGCCTAGAGCAAGAGAAGGAACGGGGGTGTTTTAGTCAGTACGAGGGACACTTCCTCTCCCTATATTCTGGGTAAGAGAAGTTATAAAAATGATGAACGATGTTTGATGAATGTTCAAAACAAAACTTATAGTTGGTTGATTGCTAGGTAGTTCTTGATTGATACGCAGTTCGATTGATTTGATAATTGTCTATTGATTTAGAGTGACAACTACTCTATTTGAGTGATATGGCGCGCTGAATACGAGGCGTCGCAGTTCACGTAAAGCGATAACAAAGTTATGTCAAATTATTGAACGTTGCTAACACTTTATAGTAATAAAGAAACCTATTCATATAAACGAAATGCACTACACCATAAGCTTCAAACACCAGAATCTTCCATCCACACACATAGACAGAACTCCTTACACAAATAA